ATGTACTCAATCCGACTATATCATAGAGACGAATCTAGAATTTGAAGATGATAAAAATATTATTATTTTTAAAGAAAAAAAATTTAGACGGGTTCAACTAATGTTCTCAAATGAGTTTGATTATAAGTACACAATTAATTATATCATCTCTTCTTAGATTATCTATACATGTCTATTAAAAAAAAATCTAGGTGCACGTGCGCCCTCGCAACGTCCACCTCTGCATCCAAGATCAAAGGTAAATGCAAGTGGGCAAATATTTTGATCACCCATTGATAGTACTGAATAAAAATATTTCTACTTTTGTCTCAATTTATATGATGATATTGCGATTTTATAATTATTATTTGCAGATCCGAGTGGGTGTGGATTGAAATTTCCTCATATATTTATTCATATATGAATAATACAGACCAATAGGACACTGTCATGTCATCATATGTATTAATTTTGGTGTTGTGAGAACCTAAGGACAAATGTGAGCCAAAAAATAATTATAGGAGTATTGTTGGACCAATAAGTTGACAGAGGGTAATAATAAAGCCAATTAAATATATTGATGAATATATTTTTTGTCCTTTCTGTTTTCAAAATTAAGTACCCCGTTGACAAAATGGTCCCTATTAAGTACCCTGCTGGTAAAACGACTGCATCAACGTATCATTTAAGATATGTGACGAGTGAGATTCTTTTATTCTTAATTATAAGTGTCTAATTTAATTTTATTTATTTATTTATTTATTTTAAAATAAATTTAATGCGCCACGATAAATCTGAATTAGTGACAAATAGTTATTATATAACATATGTTCAAGGGGAAAAAGAATAGTTGATCATTTGAATAGTTTGAACTCTATATTTGAAAAGAATGAAATAAGCAAAATAAATTATTGTACTAAATAAATTGTAGCTTGGAAGGGGTTATACTTATATATAATGATGAGTCATTTTCATGCTATATCGTTCACAAGTTCCTTTCACACTTATTGTGGACCTTGAACTATTATTATCAATGTGCGGATTTTAACTTTTAGTTATTAGTATTATTTAATCAAAGAAGATTGTTCGGATGATAATCACACTTCACTTTCAATCTTAAGATTGTGGTTTGAGTCATAAAAAATCACCCTAATTATCATTCTACCATTTTTTCCTCGTGGAGATATAGTTTAATTCATATAGGGAGCTACTTGACTCTCGAGTAGTACTCTTCAAAAAGATGAAACAATAAATATTTTTCTTTTCTTTCTTTTCTCTTTTAGTTATTTTACTAAAACAAATGAGATACATGCAAATAAAAAGATAGCTTAGTCAATTACCCATAATAATAATAATAATAATAATAATAATAATAATATAATAATAAGATAGCTTAGTTGTTGCACATATCTCTTTCACACATGACATAGATCAACACAATCTAATAATTTCACACCTGTCTCATTTTTTAATACTTTATCTTTAATTGTTTTTATTTAATAGGATTTTTCAATCTTTATAAAGTCAAGTCTTCATGTTCATATTTGATAGTACTATTTATTTTCATCACTTCACTTATTTACGCTATGATAAAAGTAGATACCAAAATTTGTTTAGTTTTAAAAAATAAAAATAAAATTTATTATTTTATGTTTATTGTTAAATATTATTTATTTTTAATATTTAAATAATTTATAATATTGGAGATGACATAGGGAAAACCAACCTGCCCGTGCATGGCTGTCTTGATAATAATTGACATAATATGGACAGGAATAATTATGATGGAGATAATATAAAAGAAGAAAAACTATATGAAGAGTCTTGTCTCAGTCTCACTAATATGCCTTGTGATTCTCGTGCAACGAGCTTTTAAAAAAAAAATAAAAAATTTAACACTTCTTCCGTCTTGTATTACTTGTTCATTCTGTTAAAATTATTTTTTAAAATTTATAAATTTAACAAAAAATTAATTAAAAAACATTATTTGCTATTAAAATTAATTCTTTGTAAAAACATTATAAAATTTCAAAAATATTCTTTGCTGTTCATTCTAACATTGATGAATAGGGCAATATATAAAGTGTATTGGAAAAAATTAAATGATAACTTAGTTTTAATATTTTTCGTATTTATATATAATTTCTTAAGAAATGTTTAAAATAAAAGCGGATAAGTAATGTAAATTGTAAAATGGAGGGAACATTGTTTTTCTCTCGTAGAGGGTGGGGTATAATAGTTAGAAAATTTTCAATTTTAGAATCCTTTAGTATGCCACATGAGATGAGTACGGATAAAATTATTTATCCTATCTTTATATAAATATAAATAATAAAATAAAATAATTTAAAATTAATTACTATCTAAACTTGGATCGCGCACTAGAGGGCTCATTCGGAGATGGCGCTCCCAATAGGATTTTTTCCATACCCAAAGCTTGAACCAAGACCTCTGATTAAGAGTGAAACACTTTCACCACCGCACCACAATTCAAGGGAGAAACACATGTTGTAGATGTTCTACATCAACTTCTAGCTAGTCTTCTATGTTGTCCCTTTACTTTCATTAACTATAGTAAAGTACTTTTCATTTTATTTTAATTGTCATGTTTTTTTGAGGATTTTAAAAAGAATATTGAATAAAAGAATGATGTGACTAACTCATCTTTATTTACTCTTTTTTGTTTTAATAATATTCTATTTTTTTTATCATGTTAGTTTCTTTTCATTTGATGAAGTAAAGATAAAAGTGAAAATAAATAATAAGATAGCTTAGTTGTTGCACATATCTCTTTCACACATGACATAGATCAACACAATCTAATAATTTCACACCTGTCTCATTTTTTAATACTTTATCTTTAATTATTTTTATTTAAAATAGGATTTTTCAATCTTTATAAAGTCAAGTCTTCATGTTCATATTTGATAGTACTATTTCTTTTCATCACTTTACTTATTCACGCTATAATAATGTATATACTAATTTTTATTTGCTTAGTTTTAAAAAATCAAAATAAAATTTATTATTTTATATTTATTTTTATTGTTAAATATTATTTATTTTTAATATTTAAATAATTTATAATATTGGAGATGACATAGGGAGAAGCAACCTGCCCGTGCATGCATGGCTGTCTTGATAATAATTGACATAATATGGACAAGAATAATTATGATGGAGATAAAATAAGAATAAGAAAACTATATGAAGAGTCTTGTCTCAGTTCTAGATATATAGATATGCCTTGTGATTCTCGTGCAACAACCTTTTTAAAAAAAATATAGTAGTATTTTATAACACTTCTTCGTCTTATATTATTTGTTCATTCCGTTAAAATTATATTTTAAATTTATAAATTTAACAAAAAATTAATCAAAAACATTATTTGCTCTTAAAATTAATTCTTTATAAAAACATTATAAAATTTCAAAAACATTCTTCGTTGTTCATTCTAACATTGATGAATAGGGCTATATATAAAGTGTATTGAAAAAAAAAATGATAACTTAGTTTAAATATTTTTCGTATTTATATATAATTTCTTAGAAATGTTTAAAATAAAAGTGGATAAGTAATGTAAATTGTAAAATGGAGGGAACATTGTTTTTCTCTCGTAGAGGATGGGGTATAATAGTTAGAAAATTTTCAATTTTTGAATCCTAGATGAGATAAGTACAGATAAAATTATTTATCCTATCTTTATTAAATATAAATAATAAACAAAATAATTTAATGCTACTCCATCACAACATAACTAACATGTTCATCAACTTATATCATGAGGTCACGTATGTCAACATCATAACCAAATGCAACACAATTGAGATTTAACATAGCTCGAACTCAAAATTTCTAATTAAGGGTGAAACAGTTTTATCACCGCACCACAATCCCCGTGGATCCTTTTAACCTTTCTTCAATACTATGTAAACGTGTTTCTTTATGGAGAAACACAGGTTGTAGATGTTCTACATCAACTTCTAGCTAGTCTTCTATGTTGTCCCTTTACTATCATTAACTATAGTAAAGTACTTTTCATTTTATTTCAATTGTCATGTTTTTTTTTTGGATTTTAAAAGAATATTGAATAAAAGAATAATTTGACTAATTCATCTTTATTTACTCTTTTTTGTTTTAATATTATTCTCTTTTTCATTTTATGAAGTAAAGATAAAAGTGAAATAAATAGTAATTAATTATATTTTGATTTTTTTAAAATAACGTTACTACTTACTACTACTATTTTGAATAAGTTGTTTTCAATAAGCACAACAACTAAAATAGGTCAGAGAAAATAGATTTTAGTACATGTAAGTTATTGAGCGATGTTAGAAACAAAATTTTAATATATGAAATTTAATAACATGAAATATTAAACATTTGGCACGTAATAGTAGCTAGGTAGTTGGCTAGAAGCATGAGAAAATACCATTTAAAGAGAAAAATGAGGACTTGAGTAATATCAAAATCTATGATCATAGTAGAATATAAGAATCTAAAAATGATGGTGTGTATGCCGTATAAATGCTACAATAAAAAAAATATAAATGTGTAAAATACAAGCATATTTTATCAAAACTTTTCATTGTTGGATCTACTTTCAGTTTGTTATTATTATGCCTTTACGAGTTATCTTTTAAGAAAAAGTTCAATTAAAAAGGAAAGAACCAATTGCTAACATGGAAATATCAAAAGGTAGATAAAAGCATCAAAAACAGATCGCCGAATATTTATTAAACATTAAATTAATAAGAAATAATAATAGAGATTAGACTTTAATTAAAATAATTAACGACTTTTTAAAAAAAAAAAATTGTTTAAGGCGTTACAATCTGTAATTTGATGAACGGGAAAGTACAGGAATTAAATAATCGCCACATCTTTATAATTTTACATCGAAGGTTACTTTGGTCATTTACGGGTTTGATAACCGGCCGGTAATAACTAAATGACAGAACTACCCCTAATAACTCATATAAATCTGGTTAGAATTGAATCACAGCATCTATCAGCTCTCTTCTCTCTCACAGACACACAAGAGACAAAAACTCAAAAAACAGAAAAAAAATGGCAGAGGCTAATTCGTATGCAGCTCTTACCAAAGCTTTCTCAGGTTCTTTTCCATTTCTTCTTTCTAAAACTGATTTATTAAAAATGTTTATAAGAGTTAAAAGTTGGATTTTTTAGGTGAATTCTTCAAGTTTTTACTACTAAACTCTCACTGGATCTTCACTTCCTTTGAGAAGTTGTTTTCTACATCTGATTCTACCGATCTGTGTAGTTTGGGGATTTCGTGTGCTTTTTTGTGTCTGATAATGCAATTTTCCCTTTATACTTACTATTCACTGTTTCAATTTGTTTGATTTGACTGTACATGGAATTTAGATTTTTGAGTCTTCTGATTTTGCCCTTTAATTTCGTGGTCTTAAATATGCCATGCAATATCTTGAAATTGTAGATCAAATTAATGAGTACATTCATACAAATATTTATCTCTCAAACATAGAGTTAAGTGATGTGTATTTTAGCTCGAATTTTAAATTGCTAATGTTGAAATGTTTAGTGCAATTGAGTATTTACCGGTGTATAAGTTGTTAAGGCATACATTGAGGCATGAGTTGAATTATAACTAAAAAACGATTTTTCTATTTTTGTGTAAACATTTTTTCTAAAAAATATCTAATTTGTAGGACTCGGTGTGGATGAGAACTTATTCATCTCAACACTGGGGAAATGGAATCGGCATCAGAGGGAATCGTACAGGGTAAGCACTCCTGGATTCTTCAGAGAAGACGAACGACAGTTCCAGAGATGGGATGATCAACATATCCTCCAGCTTCGCCAAGAATTTTTGCGTCTTAAGGTATTTAGTTAATTATCGGAAACAACCTCTTTATCTTCCTTCCAATGTAGGGATGAGTAAGGTAATGCTCTATATATAAGTTTAGTCTTATAAAGTATTTGTGATCTTATCATTTTCTTCTCTCCAAAATTTTTAGGATGCAGTGGTGTTGTACACAATGCACCCATGGGAAAGAGATGCTCGTTTGTTCAAGGAAGCGTTATTATTGCAAGTACCTAAACATGATGTTCTCATTGAGATTGCTTGCACTCGATCCTCTGAAGATCTTCTGGGAGCCAGAAAAGCTTACCATTCCCTTTTTGAACACTCAATTGAGGAAGACATTGCCTTCCATATTCGAACACCCGAAAGAAAGGTACCTGTTATTTTACGGATTTAAGTTGTATGCACTGACTTTACACTATTAGGGTAGTTTAATATGTGAATTGTGATAGCACGTGAGTTATCATTCTTATTAGTTACCGATTAATGATATTTGTTCAAAGTTCTCTATTAGTAATTTACAATTTTTTTTAATGACAAACAGCTTCTAGTTGCTCTTGTAAGTTCCTACCGTTATGAAGGTCCCCGAGTAAGCGATGATCTTGCAAAATCTGAGGCTAAGATATTTGTAAATGCAATAAAAAATGCTAACAAGAAGAAGCTGATTGATGAGGATGAAGAGATTGTGAGGATCCTTTCGACAAGAAGCAAGCTCCATCTTAAGGCCATCTATAGCCATTACAAGGAAATCACTGGCAACTTCTTGGACGAGGTCAGAAAAAAAGAGTTTAATTTCTATGTACTGACTGTTCGTAGTTTTGTTTTATCCATTTGGTATTAGATGACCTAGAATCTTTTTTTATTTTCTTCAGGATCTTGAAGGTGACTTGACCATGAAACAAGTTGTTCAATGCCTTTGTGTACCTAAAGCATACTTCAGCAAGGTAAATAGCAATCACAAAACTGATAAATAATGCAGCATACTGTATTTCTCCCTTTTTTGTTTGAAATAATTTGGTAATCGATTTGACTTTTTTTTTTTTCTCATTTTCAATTTCTTATTGCCATAGATTTTGATCGCGTCCCTAAGATTGGATGTGGATGAATCTGCTAAAGACTCAGTGACCCGAGTCATAGTTACAAGAGCAGATGATGATGATATGAAGCAAATCAAAGAAGAATTTCAGAGCAAATATGGAACTACCTTGGCAGCAAAGATTGCAGAAGTTGCTAATGGAAGCTACAAAGATTTCTTGCTTACTATAATTGCAAAATCTGACTAATTATTTGGCCTAGATTTTGGCATATCCAAAGTTGCATAAGTTGTTTCCATTTGATCTTCTTTTGCTCAATTTATGTATGATTTCAATGTTCCCATTTCAAAAGAGCAATTTCAATATCATAGTTTTCAGCTTCTTGATTCAACTTATCATCAGTACATTATTTAATCATTCCAATTGCTATATCCAAGCTTCTATTCCATTCTATCCTATCCGAACAATGAATCAGTAAATATGCAGGCCGATCTTTGCTTTGAGCTTAAGTGATTTCCACTTATAAATACTTTACTCATAAAGTTTTAAAAAATGTAGGATCACTGCATTGTCCCCATGGTTTAGTTCAAATGATGAAAGTTGAAGAACGTATATTAGATCACAGATTCGAGCCCTGTACTGTGTGAACTAAGACTGATATTTAAGTGGAAAAGAGAAGAGATACTAAGTTCCTCGCACTACTTAAAGCAATCTTAGAAGATGTAATTTAAAATCCGAACCTACATAGGAAATTCAAGATCCGGACCTGCATAGAAATGGAAAAATTGATTTTCGATAATATTAATATTTGAAGGAGTAGTGAAGAGGAAGAAGCAGAGTGAACAATATTTGATGCCTATAAAAAAAAGAAAGAGGGAAGTGAATACCACATCGATAAACAATAAGTAAATCCGAACATTGCCGAAATATACAAGTGCAGCGCAGTTTCCCCGTTAGGCTCACGCAGCCACGCAGTGAGCACAAAGCGAATTATTCTTTCGCCTTTTACTAAAGAATACCGTGTGCGCGCTGCAATGAGTGGCATACGCCTTTTTTTTGGAGGGTTTCTCTATTTGAGACCCCAACAACTCTAGTCTTAACATTTTGAAACCATAAGTTGGAGGAATACCCCAAGTTATGGAGGGGTAAAATCTGTTTGTGAATTCTCTACACAAAGTGCTAACAAGAAGGATCTGATTGAAGATAAAGAGAATGTGAGACAGTAAAATACCAATCATGAATAATGTATGTTCTATTGTTCTGTATTTTTTATATTTCCTTAACTATTTCGTAGATTATTATAAAGCTTGGATGTGGATGAATTCTAAAGAGTCCTAGTTACAAGAGCAGAAGAAGTCATGAAGCAAATCAAAGAAGAATTTCAGAGCAAGTATGGATTTCTTGAAAGATTGAAGAAGTTGCTACTGGAAGCTATAGGGATTTCTTGCTTACTATAATTTCAAAATCTGATTAATTCTTTGGTCCAGATTTTGGCATTTCCAAAGTTGCATCAGTTGTTCCATGTTCTCAAATGCTTGTTTTCCCCTTTGTTTTTCTTTTCAAGTCTTTCACTCAATTTATGTCAGTGTATCCATTTTTCTAATGAGCTATTTCAACACCATAGTTTTTGGCTTCTTGATTTAACTTATCATTACGTTTTTGAATGGTACAAAAAGTGTACTTCCCCTTGTGTCTTCACATTATATTCGGACCAATAATCCAAACTGAATCAGTCCTACATGCGGCATGCCCTCAAGGAGTCAACTTGGTTCACAACAGTTTCATCTTGCATTATTTCTCCATTAATGAGATGCAACAAAGTTAATTGATTGCCATACCAGAAACAAAGCTAAAGTGGAGATCAAAGCAAGGAATACTTATATTTAGGGACGATAACTAATTTCAGAGGTCTCACACTACTCAATGCCATTCTAAGTCTAACTTAAAGTCAGGGCAGAGCTACAATATTAGATACGAGTTTGGACGAATCTAGTATATATGCTTATTAAGAGATCCCTGAAATATGTATAACTAAGTTGAACTATAGATTCGGTTGGCTAGTTCAGAACCCATTAACTTTAAATCCTGATCCGCCACTGTTTAAAGTTTACCATACAAGATGCAATTTGAACAACTAGAAACTGCAATTACCATAACTTGTAAGTTTAGTTATGGTGTTCAATCGGGGGCAAGTTCAGAACCAAACCTGCATAGGAAATTCAAGATGCTCAGTCCAAAACATCCTCTTGGACATTTCATCAGTCACCTTGTGAGCATTCAGAATCATCAAGAAAGAAGTGAGGTGATCCGAAGATTACCACATCGATAAACAACGAGTAAATTCAAAAGTTGCCGCAATATACAAGTGCAGCACAGCCAATCTGAAAAATCACGCAGCCACGCAGTGAGCACATAGCGAACTATTCTTTCGCCTTTTACTAAAGAATACCGTGTGCGCGCTGCATTTAGTGGCATACGCCAATTTTTGGAGGGGTTCTCTTTTTTGAGACTCCCATCAACTCAAGTTTCAATCATTTGTAAGTTGTTCTAACGTAATATGAAATAATCTTTGTTATTATAGATTATGAACATCTGTACAACACTAACCAAGTTGCTGCCTCCACCTTCCCATTTGCCATGGCATATATATCATTGCAGTTCCTATTCGCATAATGAATTAGTAAATGGTCACTAAAAAGTGTAGGATATTGGCAATCATTGAATATGTATAATAAATATTTAATAGCAGTAACTAAAAGGATCAGTGGTATGGTCCGAATCCACCAAGAAACTGAAGCGAAATCAAATCTTGAATTTAACAAAGTGTACAGTACAGCTTAAATTGATCTATTTGAATGACTGGTGAAGAAGAAGAGAGCAATACTTTTGACGCCTCAAAAGTTTGACAGAGAAATAAGAAGTGAGGCGACCAGGAGAGTCCCACATCGATAAACAACGAGTAAATTCGAGGTTGTCGTAATATAAAAGTGCAGCGCGGTGATTTTGTCGATCTCACGCAGCCACGCAGTGAGCACAAAGTGAACTATTCTTTCGCCTTTTACTAAAGAATACCGTGTGCGCGCTGCAATTAGTGGCATACGCCAATTTTTGGAGGGGTTCTCTACTTGAGACCCCAACAACTCTAGTCGTAACTATTTCAGCTATAGTGACTTTTACCTTTTGTGCTAAACTTAATACTACTGTATATGACCTTATCTGAAATAAATTGAATTGTATTTTCTTTTATCTTGAAATTGAATGTAGAGTAAAGAATGAAAGAATCAATTTACTCAAAAACAAAGTGACAAACAACAAAATTAAACATATATTCACTCTGTCCAACAACTAGGTTTTTCACAACAGGTCCACATATTAATGTTCCATAATAGCATACAAAGTAAAAATACAGAATTGAAACACTACAACACAATGTTCAGGTCCAGAGAGCTAGTTAGACTTTGGCCCCAAGCAGTGTCATCAGGAACTTCATGTAATCACCTGATGTGTCACCAATAACTGCACTATCAAGATTAGTCTTGTTCGCGATGAAATACTCTCCCCTGACTTTCATCATATCAACTTCAGCCCGAGTTACAATGGCTCTAGTTAGAGAATTCTCATCAGTTCCAATACCAACAATCGAGGCTCTGACAACCTGAATATTCCAAAATACGCTATTTAAATGAAACAGTCTGGATCAAAATATCAAATACTCGAGCAGGATGGTATGATATGCTGTAAACCATGAAAGTAATGCCTAAGCATGAAGCAGTTCTAGAGAACTCTCTGGTATGCTGAGCTCGTTTCAGGTTGCACACGTTATGACCCTATTTGGCAGTTTAATACAGGTAGTAGAAGTAGCATAAGAATAAAAATAAAGAAATTTCACATTCAATGGTGCATTGATACTGATGACTAGTTAAATCCAGTCTAACCGAACATCAATAAGCAAATTGATAGGACTAACATACATAAATGAAATATATGGTCTAGCTTTTAGAGAGAATTTCATCTCTTGGATGTAGAATTCAACAGGAGCATGAGCTTGTACACTAAACATAATTAAAATAAGGTAGGGGTATGTGATTTTCCGACAGAAGATTTGACAGAAAAAAGGGTGTAAAAATGAGAAAATACTTGAACCAAAATATAAAAAAGAAACTGTTTCTGTGAGTAGTACCTCAGCAAAATGTTTCTCTGGAGAATCAATGCACCAGATAACCACCTTCAGTATAGATTCCAGCAGACCTTTTCCACAGCTCTTCATGTCCTGTAAAAGAATCGTAAAAGTAGATAGAATAAAATGCAAATAAAAGAGAAAAATGGTCAGGTAGCGCTATTAAGCAGGTTGTGCAGGCAGCTTATAAAAAGTGTAACCTGGTCAATGGAGAATCCATAATTTTGCTTGTAGCACTCAAAAGTTGCTCTAAGCTGATGAACATTCCTTGTGCTGAGTATCAACAGAAAATTATCGGAATCCAACTGTTTTGTCCTTATGGTTTCACGAATGATAGCAGATTCTTCATTTGCAATACTAGGATCCACCAATTCCTTATCATATCTGTAGGACCTAACTAGACCAATGAGAACCTGTCGACATCCACGCAACACATCATTTCAATAACTTCTAGAAGTTAGAGACACACAACTCAACTTCACAAGCAATCATCAGAAAGCATGTTATGTAAACTGATAATGAATCATCATCTAGGTAAGATGTTTTCAGTACTCGGGATGCAACCCACTAGATCTATGGTGTCTTTAGAAGAACCAAATGAGGTCGGTTAAAATGATTGTACCCTTAAGCTAGTAAGATGTGACTAGAAGTGGCCATGCATACCTTTTGAACAGGCATAGGGACATTTGCTGCGATATCTTCTTCAAGTGAACAGTTGAAAAGGCCACGATATGTTTGTCTCACCGCAACCAGATGATCAGGAGATGATGCGCAAGCTATCTCTACTATCACTTGCAATTGGGTGATGGTTTTCTTTTTTGACTTCAAGGCTTCATTTGCTAGCCGCCCATCTCTTTCCGAAGGCTCGTATGTCCACAGGACAACTGCTTTCTGTCACACATGAAAAGTAAAATTAGCACTTGAAAACTTGGGAGTTACCATGGTCAAATGGAGACTGAATTTACATTTTGCTGCAAATACAGGAATCTGACAGGCACAATTGAAACGTACTAAGAGGTAAGCTATGTCTCTCAGAAATTTGCTCCTAAGGTATTAAAACTAGCAATTAAAGAAAATTGTTTGCTGTAACAGGCTAAAATCTTCAGTTGGGTTTAAGAAATCGGAAAGCGAGGAGGAGGTCAAAAGTATTGTGTATATAAGTGCCACTGCCACACCTACCTACTACAAAATTAACCCGTCCATATGACAAACTA